GATGGGGGAGGGGTTCTGAACATAGTCAAAATACATTGTATGAAATTCTCAAAGAAATAATAAAAACATTTTAAAAAAATCATGATCAAGGTGGCTTCATTCCAGACACACAGGAATGACACAACATAGGCCTATCAATAATGTAATACATCACACAATTGGTCTCAAGGATAGAAACACACTATTATTTAAATAGATACAGAAAAGGCTTATGAAAAACTCCAATATATCTTCCTGTTAAAAACCTTGATGAAGCCTGGTTTACTGGCACATGCCTTTACTCCTACCACTAAAGAGGGAGAGGCAGAAGGATCTCTGTGAGTTTGAGACCAGTTTGGACTACACAGCAGGTTCCAGGCCAGCTAGGGCTACATAGTGAGAACCTGTCTCAAAAATCAAACAAGCAAACAAACTAAAAAACAAAAAACCTTGAAGAGGGTAGGAATAGAGTGAATATATCTCACCACAATAAAGCATATATATGACAAACCTACAGTCAACAAGCTAAATGGAAAGAAAACTTGAAGCATTTCCACTAAGGTCAAGAATAAGACAACAGTATCCACTCTCCAGTCCTATTCAATGCTTGAAGTCTTAGCTAGAGCAATAAAACAAGACAAGGAAATACAAGGGATACAAACAGGAAAGAAAGAAACCAAGCTATCTAATTTGCCAATGATATGATTCTAGACTTAAGAGACCATAAAGATTCCTCTAGAAAACTCTAAGAACTGATAAATACTTTCATCAAAGGGGCAGGATATAAAGTTAACATAGAAAAATCAGTAGCCTTCCTATACAACAACAACAAACATACTGGGAAAGAATCAGGGAAATAATTCCTTTCCCAATAGCCTCAAAAAACAAACAACCAAACAAAAACCAAGAAAGCTGAGATTCAAAGTCTAGCTGGAAGCCCTCTCCAATTGTCATCACAGGGGCCTACCAACTTGCCAAATCAAGCTGCCCGGGAGAGAGCAGTAGAGACTGCAAGGTTAGTGCTGTTCTTCACATACACCAGACCTGTAGGACCAGCAAAGACCAAGACCACACTACAGTGGAACTACCTGGAAAAGACTTAAAACCTTTCCTCCCCCTGCCACCAGAACCCCGTGAACACTATGGCTACAGAGACTAATGGCTCCCACTATTGCCACACAGCATGACGTAGATCCTACTAGAGCCAGAGGGATCTGAGTGCTTCCTTTCAATTCAATGTAGCTGTGCTGGCAATTCATTCCATAAGTGATTGTTATTCTTCTTTTGGACAAGGTCTCACTATGTAGCCCTGGCTAGCCTAGAACTCATTGTATAGACCAGGCTAGTCTTGAAACCATAGAGATCCACCTGCTTCTGCCTCCTGGATGTTGGGATTAAAGCTGTGTGCCACCATGTCCGGCCCATTAAGTATTTTTTTTAATCTTTTATTTTCTACTATTTAATTTTTACTTTTGCAAATATGTCTCATGATGGTTTTCTTTCTGCTTGCAAAATGCTCAATTATGTTTTGGGACTGCTGTGTCTCTCCACCCAGTCTGCTCTAAGATATTTTTACTATGTTCTTCAGCACATCTCGTATGCTCACATCTTGTATGCTTATCCTTGTTCCTTCTTCTTTCTTTCATCCTTATCCCCTTCTTTTACTTCTTAATTATAACCTCCCATAACTTTAACAATCTCTAAAATCTGTGGGCCCTAACAGCATCCCAACTTTCCTCTCCAAGCTACTTTACTCACCTTATTTTTTCTTTTCAAAGTTCATCTAATACTTAATCCTTATTTTACCTACACTATTTTTCTCCCACTCCTAATCTTATTAATTAAAATCTCAGTATACGCTGTGTTATCTTTGGTTGTTTATTCTCCCAGTTAGTGAAGTCAAAGGGGCCACTGTGGACTGGGCAGTAGGACAACTGCACAGTGCTAACATAAATAGCTGTGGCTATTCTCCCCGTTAATATCCTACTCAGATAACACAGAGCTCACACTTGGCACCTGGAGCTCCTGGTCTGAGGAACTACTTTCTCAACTACACTCTCAACATTATTATACCCGAGCCCCACTTGCAAAAACTTCAGCTGAAAGAATATAGCTAAAAAGTAAATAAAGAGTGTAAATTCCAAAGTAACATAAGAATCATGAAAACGAAGACAACACAACTTTCTCAAAATTATTAACCCTATAGTAATGGCATCTAGCGAGAGTGAGTTAGATGAATCCCGAAGAGAGAACTGAAAATAGTAAGTCTGTTCAAATATACAAGCAAGTGAACAAAATAAGGAAAGCAATAGATGACATGAAAGGAAAACTCAATAAAAAGAAATACTAAAGAAAAACCAATCTGAAATGCTGAAAATAAAAACGCACATTAAGTGAAATAAAAAATTCTGTGAAAAGTCTCAGCAATAGAATAGATCAAGGAGAGGACAGAATAACAGCTTGAACATAAGGTGGAGGAACTAGAGCAATCCAAAGGAGAAGCATAAGAAGGTACCAGTGGGAATTCCAAACTATATGTGACACTATGAAAAGACCAAATTCACAGGTTATAGGTGCAGAAGAAGAATCTCATTCAAAGGAATAGAAAACATTTTCTTTTTTTTCTTTCTTTCTTTTTGGTCTTTTTGAGACAGGGTCCCCCTGTAATCCCAGCTGGCCTGGAACTCACTATGTAGACCAGGCTGGCCTTAAATTCACAGAGATCTGCCTCCCTCTGCCTCCCAAGTGCTGGGACTAAAGGCATGCACCACCATGCCCAGCCAGGAATAGAAAACATTTTCAAAAAAACTCATAAAAGAAAATTTCCCAGAGTTAGGAAAAGAGATGCCAATCAAGATACAGGAGGCATTTAGTACACCAAACAAAAACCCACCCTCATCAGAGTATAATTTAAAAACTAAATATATTGAACAAAGTATATTGAAAGCAGCATAAGAGAAACAAAGTGACAAATAAAAGCAGGTCCATCAGAATAATGCCAGATGATTCAACTGAAACTTTAAAATCTAGAAGGGCTTGAAATAATGTATTTTAAGCTCTGAAAGATAACAACTGCCAATGCAGAATACTATACCCAGCAAAGCTGTTATAATTCAAGAAAAAAATAAAAACTTTCTATGGTAAAAATAGACTAAAGAAATTTATGACCCCAAGGCCGCTCTACAGAAGATGTTTGAATGAATGCTTCATACTGAAGAGAAAAAATAATTTGATCATGAGGCCTCAGGAAAGAATAAACCATGCTAAAATAATACTAAGCAAGAGAGGAAGACACAAAACCAAATACTACAAAATCAACAAAGTAGCCAAAATTGGTAATTTTTAGATTTGTTTAATTTGGAGTATCTGTACATCTCAGGAAGCTAGAAAGTGCCAGTGAGAGGGTAGGGAACAAGGTCTTAATGGGTGAGGGCATCGTAGAACACATATGATATGAAAGCAGGGGGAGGGAAGACTGGGGGCTAAAGGTTTAAGCAGAGATGGGAGTGGGGGGACAAGAGAGATGTGCATGTAGTGGGGGACAGCAGGGAAGGTAGTTCAAACTAAGAATGTATTTAAAAAAAAAAACCCTTATGGAAGCACCCTACTTTGTAAGCTATTTGCGGGGGCGGGGAACAGGTGACCTTCCCCAGAAGACAGGGCTATAGTAAATGAAAATCTCAGCCACAGGAATGGGATGCCTCCCCATGGGTTATTGGTCAGGTCGCCGCAGAGCCCTCCCCACCCAACAACACAGGCTACTGCCATTGATCTTGGTTGTCCAGCATAACTAGATAAGACACTATTGATGAAGATATATTTTGGCTGAATTACAGAGAAATTAAACCGAAACTCATTTAAAAACTTCCTCCCTGCTGGCTAGCTTTCATAGTGCTAGAGGTGCTATGCAGGCTGCTGGGAAAGAAAAGCCACCAATGGTAATACCAATCTGCCAGGAAAGATGTACAATAGTGGCACAAAGGTTAAGAGGGTCACAAACCACTTTTGGATTCAATTTGAGGCCTGTGCCTCAGGGGAGAATTTATACATGGTACTATAAACCTGCTCAAAAGTCCATGACTTAAGAAGTCACAGGCCCTAGGTGGGAACCTACTACTGTTGTCTTGCTAAATGGGCACACTGTCTAACTGCCTTCTAAATATTTATGTTTATACCCATAGATTGTTGCTGCTCTGAACCTTGGCAAAAAAAAAAAGCTTCCATCTGCAGTGGTCAGAGGTTAATGCAGAAGACTTTTAACTGGCCAAAGTGCTTACAGTTAGTGACTATTGAGTGCTCAGCCCTAAATAGGACCTCTATATCACCTTCACCCCCCAATATCTCAACGAACATTGTGATAGAGGGTGTGGAAAGAATCTATGGATACTCACACAAGATCAAGCCAACAAGATCAGTCGATAGTCTTAACAGGCAGCACTAACTAGACTCAGTGGGTTACAAAAGAGAGAGGACATATGAAGGGGTAAAGGATGTGTTGGGGATCCCAGAAGTGGAAAACGAGACTTGGGGTGGATATGATCCTATACACTGTTTACATGTATGAACCTATCAAAAGAATAAATAAAAAGTATTTTACTAAAACAAAACACCAACCTAAACCCAAACCCCTTTGAACAATCTTAACCAAAGAAGTGAAAGATTTCTACAATGCAAACTTTAAAACACTGAAGAAGGAACTTTGAGTAACTCATCAGAAAATGGAAAGACCTCCCAAGTTCTTGGATTGGAAGAACATGAAGTCTACCAGGAATACAAACAGACATTTTATATTCTTTGTTAAAAGGTTCCTGGAATTCATTGTAAGTACATTTTACTCCTAGTTTCAATGAGTGACATAGACACAGCTTGCTAGATGCTTTTTTCTTTGTTCTTTTCTCTCTCTCTCTTTTTTTTAACTTATTTTTATTTTGTGTGTATGTGTGTATTGCCTGAATGTACAGAAGTACAGCCATGTCACACAATGCCCACGAAAGTCAAAAAAGGGTGTCGGATCTCCTGGAACTAGAATTACGGACCAGTTGTTAGTTGCCATGTGGATGGTGGGATTCGAACCTGGGTCTTCTGCAAGAACATTCAGTGTTCTTAACCACTGAGCCATCTCTTCAGCCCCTCCCCACCCCAGATGCTTTAGGGTTGCCCACACCTCAGTTCCCCGTGGGCCTTGTGCCACAGAGGTGGTAGCATAAGCCCATTTCCACAGGGGTCTATCAGTGTAGCCACACACAGGAGCCATCAACAATTTGGTTCTGTCTGGTTTTCTTTAGAAGATGTGATCTCTTCAAATGCAGGGCCTACAAGTTTAAAGGTCAAAATTTAGCTATGACTCCCTCAGGGAAGAGAAAGTCCTTCAGTGCATACAAGTGACATACAGTCCATCTAAATGACCCCAAGTTCTCTGTCTTCTGTTGAATTGTGTTGACCTGGGACAGGTGGTACAGGGACACTGACCCAACCTCAAGATGTCCTATCCAGAGGGTGGGCACAGACGTAGGCTCGTTTTTCAAGGATCTGTTGAGACACTTTCTTAATTTGCTCATCCAAGTTTTCTGGAGCATCTGTAAGGGGAAGACAGAGGTATGGGCACTCCTTCTGCAACGTGATAACACAAACAGGACTAGGAGAGTGCTTTCAACAAAGTCAGTTCCCCAGTGTGAAGCTGCACTCAGGGTGACTCTCCTCCAACCCTCCACACCTTACATGGGAAGGCCTTAGTTGGTAACTGACTCCTGGAAAGGCCATTTTACCATATTTTACAGCGTGTCACAGTCCTGCAGGCTATGTAGGGCCTCTGGGCGGAGCTCTAGAGATGCAGGCTATACATACCAATCTCAGTAAGGGCTTTAATGGCCCTCTCCTCTTTCATTTGCAACAGGACCGGATTCTACAGACTGCCAGGTCAAAGAGAATGTGACCAAGCAGCTTAAAAATATTTCAGACAGAGAAGCTGGCATAAAGTACCATGTTTTCCAGGGCTAAGGCCCTTGAAGAAGCCATTTCATCACCTTCCAGAACATGCTGCAATCCTGAAGGCCATTTTAGTTTGAGGCTAAAGAGGCAGGTATAATGCCTGTCTCCTCCCTTTGTGACCTCTCCTGGGCAGACACCAGCATATCCCACATAGGAGGCCTCTGTCTGTAGTATACTTGATCTAGCAGGTCTGATGCTGTGAGCCAAACCTGCTTTCCTAGCAGCAAGTTTTTGGAGCAGACAAGGGACCAAGACAGCTCCCCACCAATGCCTGGACCTGGGTGCTTACCCTCCCGCATGCCACCTTACTTACACTTGTCCAGCTGAGACAGACTGAAGAGATTCTGGAAATAAGCTTCCACACAGAACATGTTGGCCAACAGAACCTGCAGAACCAAGGTCAGAAAGGATGGCCACTGAGAGCACTGAAGTTGATCTTTGAACTTCAAGAAACCCAGTTTACTGCCACACTGGGCATCAATGCTCAGATCAAAAGGCTTACCTCAGAAGTTTTAAGTACTCTGATTAAACATACTTTGCCTAAGAGCAAGCTACTCAAAATCTGCAAGACTGTTTCTTTCTCTGTGAAGTAGATATCTGTGGGCTACCCTGGGATTATGTGTTAAAAGGCTAGTGTATAGTAGTTACTAATGACTAAATCTGTTCCCTCTTATGGGGTAAGATATGTATGGGGCAGGTAACAGGTGAAAAGGATGGGTTTGTGGTCCTGTCATTCCCCCATTGCTCTTATACAGAAGACCAGACACTAACATTATTGTCTCTGGAGAGACACTGACATGGACACACACAGCAAACTCATCCACCCATTTCTGAGGCCACCCTTTGGTGCTAGAGATTCTGACTCACCCACCCTCTCCTTCCTGGGACTCCCCAACAGGGCCATACCAACCAATACCCCTCTTCCCCACACCCAAAATTTTAAAACATGTAGAATGATGGAGGGCCTAGCTCAGTAGTCATAGCCCTGACACAAACTCTCAGCCCTCTGCTCATTGGTTTTGTGCAGAGCTGTGCAGTGCTTACCTCATGGTCATGATTCTGGAGCCCAATGCGGATGGAGCGACTAGCCCGTGACAGCACCGCCGTCATGCCATACAGGTTGATGAGGATATTGGCTACCCGCTTCAGTACCAGCTGTTCCTCTACAATGGTCTGAGGACAGAGGTTCGAGGTTGAGATCAATGATGTTTTTCTCTACACTTGGGCACTGACCTAGGTGAACAGATCTCAGCAACCTGTTTTGACACTATAAGCTACTACTTGGTGTGTTCATTGTCACCACAGATTAGTTCCCTGCATTCAGCCCCAGAAGGATAGTCCCTCCAGTCTTTCTGGGGAACCATTCTCTACTTAGAAGGTACCTAGAAAAATGAAGCAGGCAACTTCACCTAGCAGGGCCCCCATATTGGCACTCCCCATGGAGACTAAAGTTTCTGTTATAAGCCTGGTTCCATAGGTGGGAAATGGGCCCAAAGTAATCCCATGGCTGCTGATCATGGGGAAGTGTGTATGTCAGAGGCTTACCTTTCCAAAGCGGAGTAGCAAAGTCTCAACAGTTCGGCCAAAGTAATACACATTTTCCTCAAGTTTCACAGCACTGTCCTATATTAGTACAAAAGACAGAATTGGCTCAGTACCTTTTCTCTATGATATTCAAATTCACCAACTTGATGCCCACAGCCTGGAGTTCCAGAGAGACAGGGCAGGGATAGAGTGGGGTATCTGAATGCTCCCAACGTCCCTGGAGCAGCCCTAAATGCTAGTCACATCCCTCTGGGTAAGGAATACCTTGCAGGAGGGCACCCAAAATGGGAGGTACACATGCTAGGTCTACTCACTCCAAGACTAGGGTGTACAAAGCCAGGATTGCCTGTCAGCCCAAGGTCCACAGCTCGGCCTAGAGAGTCTCGAAGCCTCCGACCAATGGTCTCCATGACTGTGATCACGTTGCCTCTTTTAAGTTCACTGAAGGAAGTCCACAGTCCTGTGACTTAGGGCCTACAGGTGGTTCCCACTGCCCAAAGCACCACGGAGCTCTGTGCTGATGGCTGAGCACATAGGCTCTGTGCAGGGTAGCTCTCAGCCTGGCAGGGGGAAGCCAAAAGCATGGCCATTTCCTAAGACTTAAGGAGTCTAATCCTATTATTAGTAACATGTACTTGAGCTCTAGCAGGGATTTGATTACTCTCTGCAATGACAGCAGAGGAGATAAGGAACAGAGAAGAAAAAATGTTAAAGGAATAGTTCTCATTTCCCAGCTTCCAAATGTCTCAGCAGTCCAACCAAAGGTAGTCTGAAATACCAGGAATCCTCTAGTGTGGGAGATGAGTCAGCAGGGGAGAGGGAAGATGGAGCTCAAGTGGGCCTAGAGGGCAGTGCGTTTCTAAGGGCAGTGAGAGCTTCCCTGGCAGCTAGCCCTTCCTGCTGCCATTAAGTGAGGGGCTAGCTGGAAGGGGTTGTTTTCCAGGCCCTGTAGCTATAACCCAAATGCTGCTGCCTCCCTTCTGTGTGCCAGCTTCAAAAGGCTGCATACCCCACCACTGTTTTAAGATTAAGCAGCCCTTTCCTCTGGCTCCTATTAGGCAGGTAGGAAATCAAGGAACCTATGAGAGAACAGCACATACTTGATTCTTGAAGTCAGGATGCGGCCAGCATGCTGCAGGCCTGTCAGGGCAATGTACATCCGAAGAATCTCGTTGGTTCCCTGTGGCCAGAAGTGTGATGGTCAAAAGCGGCCCAGCAGTGCTTTCTGAGACTGGGCTGGTCCAGCTACCACCTACTACACACATGGTGGAGGCTGCCAGCCAGGAGCACAGGGGGATAGGCACAGAAGCAAGCTATGGCTAGGTGTCAGACAACACACAATGATGGTTGGTAAGGCTGACCAGAGAGCATGGCTTCCCAATGGGACCCTTACCCCTCATGGGTCACATCTCTCTCTAGGTCCCAGAATCCGCACTAAAACTGAGACCAGATTTCCCTGGGTGATGAAGATATGATGCCCAGGACACAGAAAGTATTGGATAGATAGTGCCTGGTTTTAGGTTAGACACAGGTAGCCTGAGAGATGGGAATGCCTCCCAAAGGGAGCTAGTATCTCATGAAACACATGCACTTGGCTATTGGCAGGATTGCCCTGGGGAAGGGTTGTTTGGGTGAGAGGTAGCAAAACAGATAAGGGTTTGATAGCTAGCACTAGGTGAATAGGGAGTAAGGAAGTCTTTCTGAGCAGCAGTAGCTAGGAGTTCCTTGAAGGGGTTGCCGACATACTCTTCCCTGGTACCCAACAAGCCTACCAGGCTTATGGTTTCTATGCACAACTTTGTTGCAGGCCAGGGAGTTGCCAGCATTGCCCTGTAGCTACTCAGCCCCAAGGACAGAAGGCCTTCCATGGCAGTAATACCATGGAAGTGCCTGTGGTATTACTGCTCTCAGCTCTAAACAAAGTCTGTCTCACACCTAAGGCTTCCCACCTACCCTTCTGAGAACCAAAGTTTCAAGGTTTCTTCAAACCTTGCTTGACTACCCTACCTATCCAGAACCTTGGAGCAACCCGAGCCCCTCGTTGTTGACTGATAAAGGAGAAGAGATGTTGGCTGGACGTGTAGTGCATGTCTAGGACCAAAAATAGCCAATGAGAGCTTTCACTGGAACTGATAGAGTCTGAGGATGTCTCTTGTTGACGGATCACCAGTAAAGCTCAAACCCAATCTAGGGGTCTGACTCCCATGGCCACTGTCAAGACCCATTCATCTTACTTAATCCCGTCCTCCTGGTGGGAGCACTCTACAACCAAGATAGTCCCTGATCAACATTTTCCAATGGCTTCCAAAATTCCTGTGTTGATCAAAGGCACCCAGTCCAGCACCTTTTCTATCTTTCCTGTCCAACTTCTACATCCTGAATATGCCCTGGTCTGCTACCTGAACTATACCATGAGCAGGACAGGCTGATTTGCCCAGAAAGACTTCCTTACTCCCTACTCACCTAGTGCTAGCCATCAAACCCTTATCTGTTTTGCTACCTCTCACCCAAACAACCCTTCCCCAGGGCAATCCTGCCAATAGCCAAGTGCATGTGTTTCATGAGATACTGGCTCCCTTTGGGAGGCATTCCCATCTCTCAGGCTACCTGTGTCTATATCCCCTAGGCAATCAGGTCCTATTATCACACCATGGCATCTCATGTTTGTCTGGCCCTGATCCCCTCCTTACTGACTTGACTGTGTACCCTTTAGGTTTGTAAATCCATGCAAGGCAGCAAACAGGCAATGAGGAGGGCAGGGAGCAGGGGAGTACATCTTCAGAGAACACTACTGACTTGCTTCAATTTACTGAGAAGGAAACCAAGACCCAGAATGTGGAATGGCGGCAAACCAGGAACTGGGACTGGAACCAAGTCTCCCATAGATCTGTTCAATCCTGCCCAGCCAGAAGAATTTGGAAAAGCATCTAGGAGAGTCACCAGGAGGCCGTGGGTCTGGTAAAAAGGGCTGTCAGGAGTACGACCTAAGAGAACTGCTTGGCTTCCCCCATCATGACCTCCTATAAAGGGGAAAAGGAGCTGGTGTATGGTTAAGAAGGTCCAACCAGAAGACATAGCCTGCCCTAGGTCATGGTGGGTCACTTCTGGACACCTAACAGCTCCTCTCAGGGCCAGGAAGGCTGGGAGGAGCACAGGGACATCACAAGGGGGTACACAGCTATCAGACAGTAAAGACACTCACCTCAAAGTTGAGGAAGATCCAGGCATCACATAAGGATACTCACCTCAAAGATGAGGAGGATACGGGAATCACGTAGCATACGCTCATAGGGGTAGTCCTTCATGTAGCCGGAGCCCCCAAGGATCTGCAGTGCCTCACTCACACACTGCCAGGCAGCCTCAGAGCTGAACACCTGATACAGACCCAGGTAGGGTCAGAGCCTTGTGGGAACATTCCAAATCCAGTCATTCCCTCCAGTTTTCTAAGAGGAAGACCTAAGCTTTGGGGAGCTGCTGCTCAGGATGCAGTTGAAAGAATGTGTAGAGTTCTTGAGCTTGGAGATCAGTGGCCCCAAGAGGAACTTGCCAGTTAACTACAGGTAAGTCCTTTGCCATCTTAGTCCACTGATCAGCCGGTGAGTCTAGTCTCTAACATGACTTTTCATGCCTCTGGGCTCTCTATCTCTTCCATACCTGTGCCAACTCTTATACTTTGTAACCCATCCAGATTTCCCTTTCTCAGGAAGTATGGCCCACTCCTGCAAGCCCCCTCTGCTTGCCATTTTGCTCTTGTGATATTGTCCACTGAGCATCCTAGGGATCAACACACTCAGCCCTAGTGTTAGCATTGGAAGAGGGTCAGCTCATAGGCACCAGTTAGTACTAGCTGGAAGGAAGGAATAAGGAGCACATGAAGATGACATGAATTCCACCCAGCACATAAGTTGCCCCTGGAGAAGACTGCCCCTGGAAAACCTTAAGCTGGAAGCCTCACACACACTCGAATGCCCACTTCTCTAGTCTGTCATTACCTTTCAGCATTTCTCTCACGAGCTCAAGTCCAGAGACCAGTTTAAAGTGGGGCTGGCATCTTTATTACAGCTTTTTAAAAAGGTACCCGTAAATGAAAACAGCAGGAAATTGCTATCTACCTCATCATTTGTAAAATTTTTCCATTTGTCTACTCTACAGGGATTTTATTGTAAATTTGGATTATGCTTTGATGTCCTAAAACTTTGAATCAATAATGTGTGACATACATTGTGCTAGGTACTCTGAGTTGTTTAAATGCATCAGCCCCTTTAATCTTCTCAACAATCCTATGTTGCTTCTTTTATTATCTCCATTTATGGATGAGCATGGACTCAGAGATATTAAGTGACTTCTCAAGGTGACACAGCTGGGAAATAGCAGATTCAGAATTTGGATCTGGGTTCCACTGCCCTTTTCTGCTCTTCTGCATGTCATGGTCAATTAGTCCTGATTTGCTCAGGTCTTCCCTAACTTTAGCACCAAAGTCCCCATATCCTTGGTAGCCCCTCAATCTCACTCAAGATGTCCGATCACTCCAGCCTTTCACATAGAGCTTTTCATGATCATCTTTTAGTAAATAAAGTCACAATTACCTTGATACTGTGCAACATTCCGTTTACTGACTGCTAATGAGATAACGGGGTTGTGAAAATGAACTTTTTGGGGGTTGTTGTTGTTTGGAGACAGGGACTCCCTGTAGCCCCAGCTGGCTTAGAACTCCCTATGTAGAACAGGCTGGCCTCAATCTCATAGAGATTCACCTGTCTCAGCCTCTGAATTGCTGGGACTAAAGGTGTGTGCCACCACGCCCAGCTTGAAAATGAACTTTGAGGCTCTTGCTAGGTAATATATGAAGAAACTCTATGGAATCAAGGGAGAGTTCCAATTGAATAATAATGACCAAAGAAGAACAAGTCTGACAAAGGGCTGACTGATGGAGGCTGGGACGGTGGGAAACACCCAATGCCACAGAGGCAATGACAGCGACTGCTGTGGGCTGCAGGCCTCAGGCAGCCATGTGAGGCAGCATCTAACGAAGCTGGGGCTCAGAGGTGAAGCTAGGAGAATCCATACTGCAAAAAAGGAACACCCACCTCGAGAAGGGATTGTTTGATAAAGAAGCCCCAGAACAGGATGTAGCCTGTTCTGGACTTAGAAAGTTGTTCCAGACTGTTTCCTACTTGCAATGTTTCCAGAATCCCAGAAGATAGAATTGTTAACACTCAGGCAACTCAGAATATGGCTACCACCAAAGAGATCAAGTTCCTGTAATCAGTGACCTGGTTTTACCTCATCAAATGTGATAAAAGGAAGGTCTGATATCAAAAAGATAGGCCATGAACTCTGAAAATAATGGCACTCTTCAGGAAAGTCCAGCTACTTTATATGAATGTGAAGCTATGGTATCTCTGTTTTTTCCTCTTGCTATCAATCAACAGCAATCAACCAGTAAAAGCTGGACACAACCCACACTGGGAAGCAGTGAGCAGTCCTGCACACTGACACCTGCTGGGCACTGCTCTGTGCCACTTCTCCCAGCTTTACTCTAGAGCCCTGTAGCCTCAGAGAGCTGCATGGGTGCGTGTAATAAATACTTCATGAAGGCCAAGTTATCCTAGAAACTAACAAGAAGAGGAAGATGGCAGGCAACACTGTGTTAGAAAGACTGCATCACCCTCCGGCACTAGCTCTGATTGTGCTGCAATTACCTTCACCATGGCTGCCTCAATAGAGCAGTCAGGAAATCCTGGTTGGTCCAGCATCCCTGCGGTGAGGTAGGCCATGCTTTCCATTACATAAGCCTTTTGAGCCATCAGTGCAAACTTTTCCTGAAATGTTTAGCAAAAAAAAAAAAAAATCAGAAACAAATTGCATGTGCATGAATTCAAATCTCCTAGAGAAGCTTATTAAGTTTGAAACCTCGCTGCCCAAAAGAACCCAACTCAACACAAACAAAAGGGACCTGTGTCAATAAAGCCTTATCTGGTCTTCTTCCCTTGTTCCTCCCCAGAGGCACCCATACACAGAAGCAGCAACCTAGCACCTGTTAACATCCACATTAAATCATGGCCTTTAGTACCTGAATCAATCCGAATTCACTGAGATTTCTGTTGAACTGCTTCCTAGTACAGGCATATTCAGTTGTCAGTTCTAAAGAACAGTTATAAGAAAAATAAACATGACAAAAAAAACCCATACAAGAATCCAGAACATTTCTGATTACTTAAAAATGATTTCCTACTGCAAACATGACTCTTCAGCACCCAGTAGGCACCAGGAGAATGATGTCTGCTGAGATCAGAAGCCCTGAAACCAGAGCACCCACTTTTTGGCATGTGGGTTGGAGGGGGAATTCTTGGCTTCAATGGCCCTGTAGTAGCAGGCAGGAAGTTAAAAATATGGAATGCTGAGTGCGTTGTGAAAGGTATGGAGGTAAGGACTCCACCTCCCTGAACCAACTATCCACCTCACAGAAATGCTATGAAGTGTGCAAAAAGATAGAAAGCTAGAGGCACCCAGCATAAAGACAGTTGCACAGGGTATCTAAGAAAAAAGTGGGAATGGGCCCACAGGTATCTGCCACAGCATGAGGGGTACCTTTATTTCAAAACTCAGGCTAAGGCCTCAAATTGCATGGTTGTAGATAGCGCTGAGATCTTCCACCCTGGCACCAGCACATCTAGTTCCACCTAAATCTGTTTCCCAAATATTTCCTCTGGCATAGCCCAGTTGCCACTGGTCTCCAGGATGTATCCCCACAACCATGTTTCTAAGTTTGGAGAACTTTATCGAGATTCTACCTCATACAGTACAGGCCAACCATGACAGCCCCCAGCATAATGAATGGACCCTGAGCCTGGCAGGTTTGCCTTCAGGTCAGGGTGCATGGGCTTATGCAAACTACTACCCTCTGGGCCTTTGTTTCTCCATTGATCAAAGGAAGGGAAAACTTCAAACAAGAGCCTTCACATACCTACCTCACACCAAACTTCAACAGGCATGAAACACAGAGGAGTGTTTGCCCCCAGCACTTCCCTGCCCATGACTATGCCCCTATGTTCATAGGGCTCTAGTGAAGATCAAAGCTAATGTTTTCTTAGTATAGGCTCATAGGTTGAAATTCATCAGGCTCATAAGTTGCAACTCATCAAATAGCCTTGTTTCTTACGCTTATGGCAGAGCACTAACCTTTTATGCCTCTTACAGAACGCCTGTTTCCATTAACTTTTGTGTGTAAATAAAACAGTGGAATGCAAAAATGCATTAGCCTCTGGGGAAAAAATATATTTGATCTAAATCAAAGGTCAAATGCCAAACTTAAGCTTAAATCCAAATGGCTTAGCTCAGACTTAACCCCCAGCAGACATGACAAACATTCCTGGGATTTTGAAGAGGGTCCCTACCTGACTTACTTCTGTGGATGCTAATATTCAATGTCAACTTGGGTTTTGAAACACTCTAGGCCTTGTGAGGGAGTTTCCAGAGAAGATTAATTGAGGAAGAAGGACACCCCCCCTTCACCAGCCCCTGCCACAAAATGTAGACAATATAAGCCCATAAGACCCAGATGGAGAAATCCATTGGAAATCTATCATGTATGCAGACTGCAGATACAATGTGACCAGCTGCCTCAGACTCCAACAGTCATAACTAACACTGCTTTCTGGTCACACTTTCCCTGCCATGGTGGACCGTACTTTCAAACTGTGAGACAAAACAAATTCTTCCTTCCTGAAGTTGGTTTTGTCAAGTATTTTGTCAATACAATGAGAAAACAAATGTAATAAATACACCTACCAATCAATTTCTTAAGCATCCCAGCCACAATAGTGCCCATACTGAATCTCCCACTGTTAAGAATGTTCATGGCCACCTGCAGGGAAGATGGAAACTGTTCAGAGGCACTGAAGGAAACAGAGAGAGCAGACCACATCACCTTAGTTTTTCCAGTTTCTTGAAAACAAAGGAAAGTATCTAGAGAATTCTATGCCAGCATCCAGGCCAAGTGAATCACCTTGCCAACTTTCAGGTCAGAAGAAAGTAGTTCTAACCCTCAAATTAGCTCAGTCACTGTTGACGCTCTCATCAACACACTTGGCCCCATTCTGACCACTCACAAACTCACTGCAGTTTATTCCAAACGCACCTGTCAGTTCTCTTTGCCCTGGGGAGGGGCAGAAACTAAAGACTGATCTGAGTATGCTACAAGCGGCATGGACACCCAAGCACTGCTTTCAGGGTCAGTGCCCACATTTTACAGATGAAGCAGCTGAGGCTTAGCGTGGTACCATGACTCTCTCAAGACCCTACAGACAGCACAGGCAAGCCTGTGCACTGAGAGGACTCCAGTGCCTACAGCCAGATGCCTATAGCAGTGACTTATGGCTTTCTCAGGATCTCTACTCTTCCCTCGCCCTTTATTCTGATCCACTGCAGTGAGCAGCTGGGAGAAGGACAAGTACACATCCCTGACACACAAGCTTTGCTTCTCATCTAGTCATCAAGGTTCCGTTCACAAATAAGGGGGCTTCGGTGAAGAAACTCAGTGAACCATGAGGGTGTAATTAAAAACTTTTTGATATATTTATTTTTATTTTATGAGTAATTGCCTTCAAGGATGCAGGTGTACCACATGTATGCAATGACTGTGGAGGCCAGAAAGAGGGTGCTGGATCCCCTGGAAGCAGAGATATGGATGGTTGTTAGCCATATGAGCGCTGGGAACCAAACGTGGGTCTTCAACAAGAGCAGCCAGTGTTCTTCACCAGCTCTACAAGTTTAATTTTAAAAATGGACAGCAACACAAGTGTTGGCAAAGATGAAAAAAAAAGGGGGGGGGACCTTATTCCTGGTGGGAATGTAAAATACAGCCATTATGGAAATAAGTTCTTAAAAAATGACTACAGTTTCCATATAACTGGCAATTAATTATATTAATAGGTATACACCCAAACAAGTTGAAAACATTTTCCAAATGGAAACTGAAGATGAAAGTTCACAACAGTATTACTGACACTAGCAAGTGGCAACAGCCTACACCCAAATAGCAGATGATTAAGATGAGGTTTATCCACACAGTGGAATACTCTCTGTCATACAGAGGAAGGAAGGAAATACTGATTCACACAGCAACATAAATGATGCCTGAAGAAAGCAGCCAGTCACAGAGTACCTCATAATGTATAATTCCATTCACATCAAATGCCTGTCATCCACAAACCCACAGAACAAAAACAGCAACTGTCAAAAGATGAGGGTAGGGCAGGAAGCATGGCAGTTCTGAGATTAGAAACGATGATCACAGAATACAGCTGATATATTAAATATGATGGGCATGTACATTTTAAAATGGTAAATTCTTTGTCACATGAATTATTTCTCAATAAAAAGTAAATCTGATTCCAAGGGGAAAAAAATTAGGGCAGGGACTTAAGACCCAGTGCGATGGGTTCATAGTACCCGAGCTTCTCTGGAGCCCAGTAGCCTATTTCTCATATTTACTAGGAAGAGGCCTCTAGTCCTCACACTGGGCAAAGGAGGGCTCCATGGGGAATGGAGACTCCCTATCTTAACCAGACTCCCTCTTAGAGGAGCAAGCCATCTCTCTCCAGCTTCCATGTTGCTAGCTTCCTACAAAGGCCAAGCTGCTGGGAGCAGGGGTGGGACAGAATGTGGGACTCATGTGAAATGGCACAGCATCCACATGGGATTGGCCTGCAACTCACCTTAAAGCCACCTCCAACTTCTCCAAGGACATTTTCCACAGGTACTTTGGTATTTTCAAAATGGACTTCACAGGCTGAAACACATGGAAGTTAAAACTGACTGACAAATGGAAAGCACTCTGTTCTTGACCCACAAGCATGTGACTGATTAATTATTCATTCATTCATCTTGTAGAACTGGGCAGAACACGAGGCATGGTAGGGTGGCACATGCCTTTAATCCTAGCATGCAGGAGGCAGAGGCAGAAGCATGTGGATTTCTGCAAGCTCGAGGCCAGCCCAGTCTACACAGTGAGTTCCAGGCTGTCTAGGCTGACAGGAGGCCCTGTCTTAAAAAAAAAAAAGGAACCTGGCACCATGGAGCACATTCTTTGAGCAGGGAGACAAATTATAAAGAGAACATGGTATCATGGGTCACTGCTACGATGAAATAAACAGCAGAGTACAAAGAGAGATGGAGACTGTAAGAGGTTATCATTCTTTTGAAAGGCTGTAACAGACATTTTTTAAATATTTTATTATTTTTATTTTATGTGTATGACTATATTGCCTGCATGTATGTAAGTGTACCTATGTCGTACAATGCCTTCGGAGGTCAGAAGAGGGCATCATATCCCCTGGAACTGGAGTTACGGCTTGTTAGCTGACTGGTAGGTGCTGGGAACTGAACCCAGGACCTACATAAGAGCACCAAGGGCTCTTAACTGCTGAGCCATCTCTCCAGCCCCCATAACATTTCTAAGGCAACATTTAGCCAACGTAGAAAGCACAGAAATAGCCAAGGACAGAAAAGCAAACAGAGAGGACAAGTATTTTCCTCAGATTTTTAGAGTCAATGGGATTACTGGTCCCTATTTTTTACTCTAATATAGCCATATTCTTGCACTATGGGCAGCATCCTCCTACATTGGGCAAGGTGTTAGCCAACGGAGGAATGTATTTGTACAGAATTTGTACAGATAACAACAATCTAAACCTACTTCAACACCACCCTCCAGGCTGAGGTAGGCATCCCAGGACCATAAGAAACAAAATCCCCTTGCTGTAAGTCAAGTTCTGAAATGTCTGACAAGCAGAATTACTGCAGCCAGGGACCACCAGTCCTGAAAGAGAGATGTGCTCTAAATGGAAGGTCAGTGTGAATGAAACTGAGTCAGAGAGCAAGGGGTACAGGATGGGGTAGAGGCTGGGAAGGCCTAATGCCCTTTGTACCATATTCTCTGTAGTACTGGCCTACATATTCTGCTACATAAACAAAGCAATTCTGGCACTTTGAACCAGAGAAAAAGAGACTCAGGATAGGGAAGGTTGGGGTTAAAGGTAGAGTCAGGCTAAGCAAGACAAGCTGGGTCTGCTGATTTTTCACTCAACTGTTTCTCTGGAAAAGCAAAATGCCATGAAATACCATTTTTCTGTTGATCATATCTAATGCTGTGGTACATGGGCTACATGACCTGGTCTTCTGTGGGGTCTCTCCCTCCCCTCGTCGGTCATTGGCCACTAGTCCACAAGGACAAATGGAGCAGAAGCAACGAACGGGGATGGCCAGTGAGCACGAGGGAAGAAAGCCCTTCTGGGGAGGCAGATTCAGTGATACAGCTCCATTTATTCAGTGGGGGTTAGGGAAAACATAGCGTGGAGGCAGCAGCCAAAGCTTCAGCTGATGGGTGCTCACAGTATGCTTTATTTACATGTGCCAGGGGGATCCTATCATCTGGCTATAGGGCAATGCCTAATTATCACACAGAAAAAACCTGGGGGTAGTTTTATTACAGGTAACTATGCCAAAGGTCATGTTCTGAATAAGGTCAGGCATCCATGCTTGGAGGCACTTTCCAGGTAAGTCAGGCAGGAAGCACCTGATGAGAAAGGAGCTGACCTTAACAACAGGGTTCCCCAACAGTCTTCCTGCCAAAGAGTAGTGTAGAAAGGAGTTGCCTTTCTCTCTGACCTCATCTTGTATTCCTGGACCTTTTCTCATGGGGTCCTGCATACTGCCAGGGATACTAATTTTCCAGTTGTCAGGCAGGAACCTGACACTGTTGACTTGGTCACGCCCAGGATACACAGATGTCGGCCTGGATATGTCAAAGGCAGAGCATAATGTACCCTCCAGTGAGTAAGGGCTGACCAGGCATGAATGGTGGGCCTGGGCTGTAGGAAGGGAGAGAAAGGAGGTTCCAGACAAGAAAGATGGGGGCCTGGAACATCATATCACTACTGAACTAAAGACCCAGTTTCTAGGACCTCATTCACACTACTGCATTCTCAATTTCATTTTCCTAAAATGCTTAACTGAAAATGCAAGTATTTAAATGCCTTTTCACTTTCATACTTGTCAGAATGGAGTCAGTCTGTCTCTCAGTCTCTCTGTCACACTTTATATACATTTCTGCCACACTACTTACTGTTGGAGCCTCGAATGCCTAACTTATCTTCAGGTTTCCCATTAGTGATTCCACCAAAGCCTCTTTCTACTATGAATGCAGTGATTTTGTCTTTCGTTGAACCATCAGAATCAACCACCTCGGTCTTTGCAAACACAGTAAAAATACTGGCCAGTGCTCCATTAGTGATCCAAACCTGAGAAAGAACAAAGATCTTTGTAGACACCACTCCACTCTATCTGCCCACTGAACTTTAGCCAGACATGGAAAGTTCTTGCTCTGTGTAAGTCAAGCCTGTGTGAATAGAGCACAGTCCCCAGAGCAGGGGTGTTCTTAGGAAACATTGGTGGCAGGACAGGGGTGGAGAGTAGCTACTCACACCAAGACAGCTCCAGACCTGTTTCCACCAGACAGCTCCATTCAATGGAAGACCAGACCAATGGAAGATTTCTAGTCAAAAAGGATTATTTCATCACCTCACAAAGAATACAAATGTGCAAACTTCATGTACAATATTTACTTAGCAATGAAAACAATGAAATGGGGGATGACAGAAATAGTGTACTTAACAGACTACAACAGATAGGAATTGTTTACTTTTTGACTCAAGCAAACAGTTAAAAGGGAAAAGGTAAGAGATAAGCAAGGAAATCTGAATGCTGAATTCCTAATGGAAGAAATTTATTATCATTCTCTTTCGTGTGCTATAGTATTACAGTTTTCTATTTTTAGCAATCCATGCTAAAAATTCTCACAGATGCCAGCGTTGGTGATACCAATGGAAGAAATACCAATAGCCATGAGTCTGTAACTCCTACAGCTGAATGTCAGGTGCATGGAAGTGCAATGTACGATACTCTATCTTTGAAATTTTGTGCAATAAAAATGGAAAACAAACACAGAAAAGCAGTTCAGGGAGGGAGCTGTAAGTATACAAGCAAGGAGGCTCTGGAGGCAGACTGCCTTATACTAACTAGTTCCCAGCTCTCTATGTCTCAAGTTGTTCTGATAAAGGACTGACATGCACCCAGTATGATATGCAGATCCCTTATAGTGCCTGGTGTACAGGACATAGACACAGAGGTAGTGAGACTGGACAGGGCAATGAGGTCACAGCTGTACCTTGGAGCCATTGAGGACAAAGTGCTTCTTATCTTCACTTAACGTAGCTCTGGTCTGGATGGAGGCAGCATCACTCCCACTGCAAAGATGGAGAGATGTGACTGAGGGAGAACAATGTCAGGAGTAAGAATGGATTTGAAGGTTTGAAAATAAGATGGAAATAAAATAGAGGCAGACAACGGACATGTTCAACTCTCCAAGTATAGCATGTTTGTACAATTTTACTACGAAAACTTGTGTGAATAGCATGTAAAAAAAGTGGCAGTAAAAACAGAATACGGAAATGTGGGCTCAACAAGGGTTTAACAGAGCTGCTATGAGTTCAGGCTTTAACAGCAGGGAAGACTATACGAGAATCCCTGAGCCTTGCCCAGCACTGCTTCATCCTTGCTATGTGACCTTGGGCTGATCACTTCATGTACTCTGAAAGGTTCACTGAACGTTGCATGCATTCCTGAATGTCAAGGGGGCTGTGAGCCACAAACACTGACTTTGTTGATGCTATAGAAATGTTACCTGTATTTGTGATGACTGGCCCAGAGCTGGCTGAGAATGACCTACAGGAGCTCCAGGGCTACTTGTAGAAGAAGGTCCGTGACCAGCAGCTCATCTACTCTGCAGGTGTCTACAACCTGCCTAAGGGCTGCAGCTGATCGCCCCTGCTAGGCATCCACAGCATCCATGCCTGTGTCCCCTCTGGATGGAGAGTATGCTATACCTTCTGTTCCCATGGCCCTGTACCCAGTCCTCTCCCCCATCCCCTGCCTGCTCTTCAGAGTACAGATTAAAGCAGATTGGTTTATAAAAAAAAAAAAAAAGAAAGAAAAGAAAAGAGAAAAGAAAAGAAAAGAAAAGAGAAAAGAAAAGGTCACTTGTAAATTTCATTGGGTCAGAGATAAAAGAACTACCAATAATAGTTTTTGGACTGAAAAGCTTCAGGGAAGGAAGAAATAAAAAGCCAGCTACTCCCTGCAACACTAACTCTGTCCTCAGAAACTTTGGATGGTGTCAAGTATATGGATGACATTTTGAAGAGACAGACCTGGCTGGCTCTGTTAGGCAGAAGGCTGCGATGTGCTCCCCAGATGCCAGTTTGGGCAGGTATTTGGCTTTCTGCTCCTCGCTGCCGACCAAGATGATCCCCTAAATGAAACACACAGATGAACTAAAGCTGTGAGGTAAAAGGCTGAGCTGTACTTATGAGGCAGCTCCTTTTGTTAACAATATTCACTTCATTCAAGAGAGGACAGTATGAGCCAACAGCCAGTAGCCTCAGGCTGAACTCAGGGAACTAAGCTGCTGAAGGGAAGCCTCATGCACTGGAGGGGCCACAGTGGTAGCTTTGCAGTCAACATCTGGGATTTTCATCCCTGCCCATGTTAGTGCCCTCCTGGGTGGCACTGGCTCAGAAATGATCCTTCTCTGAGCTTCCATCTCATTTATGAGCCAGGAATCCCTCCTCTATGGAGAGGAAGGTTTGGATGACGGGAAGTGAATACTTGGGAGTGCTATAGCTATACCCAGTACTGGAATGGCACATAGTTTCAAAGCTGTTGCTCCCCTACCCTGGTCCTATTGCTAAATAACTGCAGTGTAGGCAACTATTCTTGGGTTGCAAAGATGGACATGAAGCCCATTCTGCTCTCTTTGATGTCTATACAGCAGAGATGACCTAGATAATGTGACTCCCCTGAGAACTGCATGCCCTTGAAGCTGTCCCACCACACTCTAAGTCTAGGGGGCACATAAACCATGTGCCTAGATAGGATAGCTCAGGAGAGGGCACAATTCCAGAAATGGCATTAACTTGAGTCTCAAAGGATAGGTCAAACGTAATGCATACAGGAGGCAGAATCAAGGGAAAAGACCAAATTAAGTCAAGAGTCACTACTGGCCAAGTAGAGGCCACGTGTACAGAGACTCACAGTGTAACCAGACTGAGTGAAGTGGAGTCAGGGTGGCAAGTGCAGCTAGGCTCCTCCTATTTACCCCTGAGCAATAAAGGCCCATTCAGCAAGCCCTAGTCTCCTGATTCCTCCAGAAAACCCCAAACAGGACCCCAGACACCTGACCTTGAGGCCAATAGCCTGGTGTGCTGCCAGGGTCACGGAGATGGACCCATCCATGCTGATGATCTCCCCTAGCCGAGCATACATTGTGTTGGAGAGGCCAAGGCCACCTAGGAAAGACAGATCAGTCTAGCTGACTTTTCCTACTGGAACAAAGGGCTTCATTCTACTTTAGTAATTATAAAGTAACCACAGAACACCATTTAAATAAAAAAAATCAGCTGGGCATGGTGGCACGTGCTTGTAACTCTGTCACTTGGGAGGCAGAGGCAGCCGGATCTGTAAGATTGAGGTCAGCTTGGTCTACATAGGGAGTTCCAGGCCAGCTGAGGCTACAACTATCTCAAAAGATCAAAGCAACAAAACAAAAAGATCAAAACATGGAAAGACATTAGGAAAACAAATAGTGTTTATAATCTTATTATTCACAGCATTTCTGTTTACACCTTCCAGGTCTTTTCTAGGCAAAGAAACACATGCAGACCTGTATTTTAAAAGTACAGAAACATATACACACAGTAAGTCACTGAGTATGTTGCAAATGCCTTCCACAGATAAGTATTTACAATGCCGGAATGGTACTAGGTGAATTCCAAATCATCATGGCTCTTATGCTGTGGCTCTGGAACACTTGGCGATGGAGTGTTAATTTTCTGCAATGTAGGTCATTTTGTACAATCTGTACCCTGCAGGATGCTGATCAACATCCCCTCCTCCACCTACTAGAATTCATAGAAAATTTCCATATCCTTATAGTTTCTACAACCAATAATGTGTCTTGATATTGCCACATGTTTTCTGACCTATAGAACTGCCCTCACTGGGAACCACTGCTGTAGGAATAAAAGATTAAAGGATAAAAAACATACAAAAAAAAAAAAAAAAAACTTACATGT